CTCAGGTTATTTTCTAAACATCTTAACTTTCAAGTTAAAATGGTGTTCTAACCCATGCAGCTATAAGGGGCCAACAGTTTAAAATATGAAAATAAAGGCACAGAAGCTTAGACAAACTTCTAGATCCCAGTGATTAATGCTAGTTAGTCAGCATGATGACAGTAAGAGCAGCCTGCTTCAGGATGGTTGAGGTTAACAATACTGGGAAATGAAGGTAGGGTTCAGTTGGATCCTCTGGATTCAGGTGGAGATGCAGGAAATGAATGTCTGTGAATAACTCTGAAAGCAGGACCAAGAAGAGACAATTCTGCATGCCCACATGGCTGTGCTTTGGTATGTGTTAAAAGCAGGAGATCAGATTACTGAGATCTAATTCTTTGGAGAATGACTTTGTGAAGAATGGCCCTGAATGGGAGGAAGGTTTGACTCCCTGGTACCTGGTATGGAAACCTCCCATCTTTGTGCCAAGAGGGAAGGAAGACTGGAGTCTTCCACAGCTTTGTGTGTCTAGAATAATGTGTACAAACAGTTGTCCAGTTTTGGGCTGTAATGTTTCTGGTTCGAAGTGTTGAGGTCTTATAAACATCAGCGTTTAACGAAAAATCTGTCTCAGATGGTTTATATCCGACTTCCAAATCCAATGAGCTGCCAGTCAAGCTATTTCTTTGCATTCTCTCCTGGAGGACTGCATTGCTTGGAGCTCAGCAAATCTGTGGCCAAAGGAGCGAACCTCCCATGGAATAATGCATAAGGAATGTGTAGGTGTGTGCAAACGTTCTCCCTGGGGGCACGTGGCAGGCAGTGGCAGCTCCACGTAGGGCTGGGCAGCCTGGATGAGCTGCACGTGCCCGCTGTGAACTCAGCAATCTGCATGCCTCCTGCTGTTAGCTGGGGGTCTGCTGAGTGCTGATGGCTTTCCAAAGGGCTGGCCATAGATTGATGCTCATCCACGTTCTTTCAAGACGTTTTCTGTTGCGCCTGGATAATGAAAACAAAATTGCACATCCTTGGATATGTCATACAGCCTGGGATGCCGGAGTTGGAGCATCACAGCAGCTGCTTTTTGGATAAGCAGCTGTGATCTGGGTTTGCATAGTAGAGGTTGGGTAGTAGAAAAGGTCCCTTGCATCTGACACTGTTTTGTTTTTCCCCCTGTGAGCTGTGTGAGGTTTTACACCTGCGTGCTTCTGTCTCTCAGATTAGACCCACAAGTTGGGACTCTGGGTCTCTTGTTGCTTCCCCCTGTGCTGTGGAAAAATCCCACTGCCAGTGGCTCGTGGTCTCTGGGAAGGCAGTGCTGTACTTCACCTTCAAGTGATGTGAGGGTGTGTTTTGCCTGCATGAGATTGGAGAAGGTCTTTCTCATTTGTCTGTCACTTGGAGACATTGGTGATAGGGGCAACACAAAGTGGTCCAAAATTATTTCTCTGTTGGATCTGCTGTATTTGTGACTTGTGTAACTCCAAGACAAACTATCCTCTGTCTGACTGTCCATCTGTGGAACGATTTGATATATATCCATCTTTTACTCTTCAGGAGGAACAGAACTTACTGTGAATGCAGTGTTTTCAGTGAGAGATGAACCATATCAGCACAGATTTTTCCAGATGGCTGTGACTTGACTACAGGCTAGGAGCAAGGGGGGTGTTTTCCTTCTCTATTGAGGATTTTGCCTGTTCTCTGGATGCTTCCAAACGGTTTCTATCTCTGGGTGGCTTTAAAGAGTGATCTTTAAAAAGACTGCACTGTGGAAATGCACCAGTTTGTACCAAATAGTGGGTATTATCCCAAAATATTTGCTTGAGGAGAGGTAACCTCTGAGACCCCCTGCAAGGATTTTATCCCCTCATCTTCAAATTACCGAGTTCAAACACACAGCTAATGACACACGTAATGATGATAGAATGGAAGCGCTGCTGTAAAGAGGAACGTTTAAAAATAATGATATACTTCTAACTAGGTCTTACAAAAGGAAGTCTTAAATAGCTGGAGAGAAACAGATGCTTTGGGGGACTTGTGGATAAAAATAGTGGCTTTCAAATTGCAACCAAAACACAAATGTGGCCTCACTTAGTCAACCTCAGTGCTAGAAATTCCTCTAAAAACCAAAGGGCCCAGAGCTGGGAAAGGATGTGAAATACCTGCTACTGCATCTGCAGTGGTTTCAGCATGTTTTTGTGTCTTCCACCTTGCCTTACTTCTTTGCAGTGTTCTGTCTGTAACAGCACCTGGCTGTACCCTGCCCTATGGGACTAAAGATTTATTTAATCGTTGCACAGCGGTCTGAGACCTCTGGGTTCTGTTTTCCTTGGAAAAATGCTGAAGTTGTGTCTGGGCCATGCACGCCTGGTTGTCTTCTCTGTGGTCTGCACAGATTTGGACAGAGCTGGTGTGGGTGTAGCTCTGCTTAGTGCTGAGCCTTTCCCTTTCAGGCAGGGCTCTTATCTCAGTTATCTCTCTCTGAGATGAGGGACCAGCTCAGCCTCAGCAGGGCTGGATGCGTAGTGAAGATCCAACAACTTCTTAAAGTCCATTTCAGCCATTTGTAAATGTGTGGACCTGACCTTGGTGTCCTGCAGGCAGCTCTGCATCCAGGCCTTGGAGCATCTGTACACAGGGGCTGAGAAGCGTTCAGTTGTGTGGTTTGGTCTCAGTGGAAAACACAAGGTTAGATCAGAGATAATATTTTTATAACTATTCCTACTTTCCCCTTACTTGTTAGGGCATTAAAAAAAAAGGCAGATCCTTCTTTTAAGTGGATAGCTTTACTCATTCGTGTGGTGTTTTTGTTTCAGGTGGTTCTTCTCAAACCAAAAGAAGCAGTCAGGTGAGCCCAGTATTTTGCTTTCCTGCAGATCTAAGCGTGCAGAATGAGAATTGATGTGTGGGAGCAATGCTGGACACCTCTGAATCCCAGGGACTGAGGTTTTGGTGGTTCCATCACCTCCTGACCGATAACCCACCAAAGGCATTTTTAAAACACGCCTTTTGCTCTTTGTCTTCTGTGCAGTGCCACAGACTGGCTTGCTTTGGAGCTGGCATTTAGCGATTAGAACTTTATAATTTTCTCCTTTATTGGTAATGCCCTCACACTGTCATTTGGAGCTGAAAGGAAAGCATGCTGCTCGAGCTGGCCCCACCGGGCGCCGTGATAATGCTCTTATGAGTGAGACTGTCATTAGATTAAGTGGAAGATGCCAGTAGAGTTGTTCTCGATGGCCGGCCTCTCTTTTCTCCACACGGTGCTCGGAGTCCAACTATACTTTTTCTTTCGCATTTCCATATTGTCCCTCCTTTATGCCTTGTCAAGAGCATTAGTCACAGCCATCCATCTGCATCGTGTATCGCAGCCGAGACAAAGCCAGCGGGATGCGCGGCTGCTCAGCACCCTCAACCCCGCACAGCACAAGACTCAGGCCCCTTGTGTGAACAGCAAGCACTGGGGCAGGGAGTGAGCATCTCACCCCATGTGCTGCGTGGCAGTCCTTCTGGAGCTGGGCTAATGGACTCACCTCTCGTGTTTTTGCAGGTCTAAAGGGAAGCGATGCTCGTTAGGTTCCGATTCTGGAGCATGCAAAGCCTTCAGCTAGACCTGAAAGCAGGGCAGTGTGCTGGGGTTTGCTCCAGGGCACCGCCCGCAGCATTGGCTTTTCTGGTGTGTTGCACTGCTGAATTTGCAGACTGTAGATTTGGATTCCCCACGGGAAGCGCTCATCTCGTGAAATGTGGTGCACAAAGCAGTGAAAGGCGGGCGCTGGCTGACTGTCAGTGGGAGAGGGTTGGAGATGGAGAATTGGAAGGAGGGTTTAAGGAGAGTGATGGATTTCCTGCACCCAAATAACAAAGAAGAGGGAAGAAAACCAACACAGATGTGATTTTGTCCTGGCCAAATGATGCCTTGTCAGTCACTGAGGAATGAATTGTGCTGTGCAGCAGCAGTCACCTTCCACAAGTGCTTCAGGCTTGATTTAATATCCCTCTTCCTAAAAGTAGAAGGTGAAAAAATGGTTTAGGGGCACACACAAAGGGGAGGGGAAGAGGGGGAGGAAAAAAAAAGAAGTAAATAAAAGTTGTTTAATATGTATGACTAACCCCACTGTGGTGGGAGAATGAGGTGGGGGGGATTGCCATGGCTGGGGGGTGTCAGACATGTGCCATGGATGGGGCTGGGAGGGGAGAGGTGGGAAAGAGCGGGCAGGGAGGGAGCGTGGCTGTCTTCATGCATCCGCACAGCGCTTCCTCTTTAAAATTCCCTTACTAAGCTCAGCTCCTATATTTTATATTCAGAATGAAGGTTCCCGCCCCCCCCAGCCCTCCCCACCCACCACCACCCTCTCTCCCTTTAACTTGTTAAGTTTGAAAGATGATATATACACACAGTTTGCTTTGCCAGTCAGCCCGTTTAAGGCCAAGATTAATGCAGTGCATTGGTGCAATCGTGCCGCAGTGGTGCGTGATCGGAATACGAGATGGAATACAGGGGGAAAGGCCAGAACTGTGCCTGTATTCCGAGTTTACACAAGTCTCCTTAGCAACTTGTCTGATTTTTATATATATATGTGTGTATATATATATATATATTTTTCTTTTTTGTATGGGATATGTGTGCATGCACGCGTTGTCCCATATCACCGGTGGATAAAACATTCCCTAAGTTTTTAAATAGCTCTGCTTGTTTCTCTTGTTTTGTGTTGTTTTACATGTGTATTTTTTTCCTTCTCCCTGCCCTTTTTGTCAAATGAGTGGCTTATCAATTAATTAATTAATTAGATTTCCCAGGATGGGGGAGGGAAAGGGCGGGGGGGG